GAATGTGTTTGGAATAACACCATGAACAAAATACAGCTCTTGATCATCTCTGAAGTGGAAAATACAATGACTGTTTTTCATCTCTGCGTCCCTTAGTGAGATTATACAAAGATTTAATGGAGGACGGGGTCAAGAAGAATCACCAGAATCTGGTAAGTCTATCTGTTCAGTTTATTATAGGGGACGAGATTGACGAAATCACTCATTCAGTCTAACGTACATACGACACAGAACAAATGGAAGAAGACGAAGGGCTAGAACCAACTGCCTTGTCCAAAGACGAACACGAGCCAATTAACAGGATTTTGTACATTCAAAACCTTCCCTCTGACGTCACCGATGAAATGTTGAGCTGCTTATTCCAACAGTATGTATCGTGTGTTTTTTCCTTTCCGTTTAATAAACAGAGATCTTGTTAGTAATTCGGCGACTAAATGTTTACTGTATGATTACCAGATACCCAGGGTTCAAAGAAGTGCGTCTTGTACCTGGTAGAACGGATATTGCGTTTGTGGAATATGAAGCCGGTCATCAAGCTGCCGTTGCCAAGGATGTATTGAATGGATTCAAACTTACCGTTGATAAAGAGATGAAAGTAACATTCGCGCGAAGGGGTTAAAATGGCAAATCGGGTTGATAAAAAGGATCATAAAGTGACTAGGGCATGGATATTGTCGATAGACTAGTGTAAATTGCAAATAAACTCTGGATAATAACTTTCGCAAGTAAATGAACACTATACTCAATTTCCCAATGATGTTCGACATCAGGATCTTATGTATCAATACCAAACCCTGTAATGAATCTCTTATTTATTGGTAGCGATCATTCCCAAAAATACCTGCTGTCTCTATGTACATTATTGTCCTCAATAGATTTTGCTAAAGAGCAGTAATTACGTTTTTTTCGTGAGCGATTCATCCAGCAAGATCAATCAATATAAATTTACTAAGTAAGCGCGGTGTCAGGCTGCCTGAATTGGCTAATTTCTCGATTTAAATGTGTAACCGGGTTAGGGTAATCATTGACACTGGTGACTAAGAAATTGAAAATGAGTATCTGCCACATGTTCAAATGTTGCAAATAAATAAATTAGGCAGTGGCTTTTGATAACACTTGACAATTTGACCATTTGCAGCTTGGGCTGACATTGCGAATAATATTAATTAGCTGTTTACTGTACTTTATTTTTGGGTCTCCTCTCCAGGTGTATGCATGAATTAATGTATAGAAAGCTTAAGCAAGTTATTAATTAAATATGAAAACTACTGGTTCTATTTAGCTAGAGAATTATATAGTAAATCAGGAAATGAAGTTTTACCTTAATATTATAAAATATGTTCTAAATACGCTCTTCTAAAACGTCAAGTAATTCGTGCATGTCACTCTATGGTATGTTTCTTATTCTTAATCGAATGTTACATCATGGAAGCATTCTATAACGAAATCTACATTTCTTCAATACTGTAATTATTGTGTCAGTCGGAATAATAGAATAACGCGCAAATTTAATTGGCTTTCTAATTCACGTTTATGCTATCATTGCGGTCGGTAGTCTGGGTTGTGGGAGAGCGATAATTTTTCGCGTAGGTGTGTTTGTCGACAGGGGGATATCCTAATTTAGCTTCAGCCCCACCGCTCTTATTTTGATAATTTCCTTGCGACTGAATCTAAAATGCAAATAACATAATCTAATTATTATTATGCGCGCTTCTTCACTTCCTATACGATGTACCTGACGTACTCGTATTTAAATAAGAGTGCCTATGATATAACGATAATAACAACAATATCACAGAGTCCAAGAGAATATTATTATTTTAATTTAAACGCGGCGATCCTTGATGTGGTATGTCGACTAGTCGAGTAGACGTCAATGTCTATTCTAAGATTAAATAAACAATAATAGTTACAATATCAATTATAGACTCTCGTTCTGCTATTCGCGTAATTGACCAATGAATATTTTGCAGCCGTTCATATATCGGTCGCTACAGCTTAAATGAGCCGTTTATGCCAAAACTTTACAGCTTTATGTGAACCTTTTTTATAGATATACCCGGTTAATTAATATTTTAACGATAAAAGAAGAAAGAAAAAAAGAAAGTAATTCGAGTTCAAATTAATGATTATCGAATGAACATTTATCCAATATTTCACACAATAAAACATATCGGGTATGTCAAATATTCAAACATGCTATTTTGATAGTGAGATTTGAGCTTTTTATATATCTTTACGTGACAAAAAATTCGTGACTGAAAATTGTCACAAAACGATAATTTTTTGTCACCTATATTAGTACCAGTTATACCATAACTAAAATTAACATAACTTACTTACTTTATTTATTATGTCAAGTTCTGGATACGTTGAGCTCATACGATATTTATTAATTGTACGAGAGACACACAGTTTAGTTGCATGTTAGCCATAAAAACTCTGTATTATTATTAAAGGTATCTTGTGTTCCAAAAATGGTTGAATCTATTAGAATTAATTTCATTATTCGAATATCTGGAATACGTTTCATGAATCACGTATAATTCTCGTAACGTTTTCAGTCAGTATATTAGGAGATCGTGGTGGTCAAGTCATCACATCAGTGACAAGTAAAGAGTTTTTTGATCAATGTAATTTAAAGTTTACTGACAGATATTGTAACATTTTTTGGTAAAAATGTTTAAAAGTCAGGACTATAGTACATGTGTGAGTGTAATATCTTGTGTTTTGTGTACAGTTTGAACAAACAAATTTTGGAAAGCCAACTGTATTTGAGAAGTATGCTGCCCAAATGCATAAAAATATGATGTTTGTTTTTTATAACTTACTTTAACACCAATTTTCTCGGACATAGAATGCAGGCACACGTGACTTACAATAACTTTAATAAGAAACCTCTCTTTCTCAATGTTTTAATAATCTGTTTGTAAACCGACGCGCACATTCTGACAATCTAACTGTTTATTGCTATGATGTAGACGTCTATGAAAACAACCCAATCGGCAATTGCTGATACGTTGTTAATTTGTCGAGCCCAATTCAAATCTGCGGTTGAAAATTTTATACTTGATTTTTCCAATATACAAGACGAGTGCAATAATAGCTTTCTATTCATTTATTTCTCAGTATTATTGCCTCATTGTTAAATAACCTACTGTATACCAATTGTTTTAATAAAAAACGCGTTGCATGTTTTCTTTTCGATTCCCAAGGTATGAGTTTCACCCCCTCCACATGCACGTTCGTGATTTTCATAAAATTCGCACAACAAATCCATTTACATCGTGGTGGTAAAGTTATGACATCTGCCCATACAAGAACGCGTTACGTAAATATTAGTTTGCGCTGTTATAAAAATTGAGTTGTATAATACGGACGTTATCCAATCTTTGTCTTTATGTATGGTATAATATAAAATTGTCTGATAGGAAAATAGAACACAATTAACATTTTTGTTACTAATAAATACAGAGTTGCCTTTGCCAACATTAACATAAAGACTTAAACTAACCGAAATTGTTATTAACTTTGTAATAGTGTCATGTTTGCCGATATCAATAAAAATTTTATTAAAATCTAAAACGTTTTGCTTAAATAAATTTAACATCGGTAAAAAAAATTACGGCCAATGTATAAAATATGTATAAAAAAAAACCAAATTATTCAAATATATTTAATGCACTAGATCGTTATATTGCTTTAAAATAAATAAAACAAACAACCACGAACAAGTTTGTAATTAACGGTAATAATATCTACTTTTACAATTAGATAAAATCCAATAATATCGCGAAAGGCTAAATGTCTGCATGTTCTCTCATTTTGTTTTCCGCCACCGCGTTAGCTGTAATTTCAGGTTATAATACATTTTCCATTGTAAACCACACAAAGTTTTAATGTAAGCAAAGCCTTTATCCAAAGAACTGAAGGTACGACTATTAAACAAAACAACAACTTGTAACAAAATGCAAGTGTCCACGTTGCCGTTAGAACAAAACCCTCCAGAAGCGCCGCGTAATTTTCCGAAGACTGTATAACATATATCCATATCATTATCCCAACGGCAAATGCTACGAAAATAGGACCAAACACAAACCAATAAGTTAATCGGTCCACATATCCTCGATTCACAGCCAAAAAACCAAAAACAAAACCTCCGCACACTTTAAATACATTACGAAAAAATATAATAAAAAAAGATTGAGGGCGTGTCGTCTTTAGAAATACTAATATTAGAAACCCAACGTCAAAAAGGAACGCGAAAATGTTTGTTATAAAATATGCAATAAAAAAAAAAACCTTGGTATCTTGGTATGCTTTAACATTGAACCACATTTCCGGTGAAAAAGATGCTAGCGAAATAAAAGAAATAGAACAGTTTAATGTGTTTAGTATAACCCTATTATTCCTATCTACATTAATTGTCATGACCGATGCGATTAGAACAGTGGCCATCAAATCAAAGACTGTTTCAGTAATTGGTTGTAACGGACTCCCTGATAAATTTTCGCCAGTGGGAAGAGCATCAACAAAACCAGGAAGCAGCAGAAAAAAGATTGATGGCAGTACTTGCAACGCTGATTGAACACACATTTTTTCGAAACAAATTTTTGCGGACGAAGAGTAGTGTTGATTTTTTATGCAGTAGACTAACGTATGAGAATGCACTATCAGTTGTACGATCGATATATGTAATTGTATTTTTAAGATAACATGAGTGTGACGGAATAATCTAACCTCTATATTTATACAAAATAAATTGTACTGTGGGCTTTGCTTTCAATTGTACAGTATTTATCTCACAATTTCAACGCCGAATGACGTGACAAATGCTTTGAATGACGATGACTAATACTTAATTATACAATTTTCTCGAACCGTATAATTTTATTCATAGCAATTATACTATTATTATTGATTTTCAATTATTAGGAACGTAGTTTCCGTGTGGCTAATCCTTTATCATACGATTTTCTCCATAATAATACTTTATTTCAATCATGCGGCTGATCGCTCAACCCTACAATTGACAGCGAGAGAACGAAAAGAATCCCAGCGAAAACTAGTTGCTGATTATAAAAGGTCAACTCGGAGCATCCGCACATAGTTTTGTGAGTCTAATACCCTAAGTGTATAATTCTCTCCACGATGGCATTTTGCCCAAATGCGATTAACTTTTCAAATTTTTAATGATAATGACCAATGTTTAATCATACGATTTTCTTCGACCGATAGCAACATATCAGTCGTACAGTTTTTTTGAATCATACGATGACTTTCAACCGTATGACAACGTATCAATCGTATGACTTTATCAGTCGAACGTTTTTATGTAACATTGTGTGCTTGTGGAATGTTAATTCAATAGTTATACTGTATATCCGTAGATCTCACCATTTCGCTTGGCTTGCGTCAATTGTTGTACAAACACCCTTGCAACACACACACAAACACAGTCGAAGCTCTCAAACTCTAAACGAAGCCAAACTACAAGCGGGTAACTACGTATCTGTGCCGTTGGCTTACGGTCGATAATAACAAACTACTATTTAGACGCTTTGATGCTTTTGAGACACAAGATATCCCATTCCGTGAATCATAATAACAGTGAGGAAG